AGTTGGCTGGAAGTAAAGCATTACACTAGCCTCCGGGCTTTCAAAGTCGCCGTGGAGTAGTGGTAGTGCTCTCGGAATTTGCGCTCCGACGGGAGGAGAGCTTATGACCTCCAGGGTGAATAGCGAGGGCACCACCACTGCTCCGCGGCGACTTTGAAAGCCCGGAGGCTAGTGTAATGCTTTACTTCCAGCCAACTTTGACTGCTCACAACTTCCTTGGCAGGTTCATTTTGCAGTTTTAGTTTCCATATTTGTAATCAGCGTTTGAAGCTCTATCGATATATCTGGGTCTCATCTCAAAGTTCCATGGGAAGTTGAATGCCTTTCCTGGTAAGTAGAAAATTAAGCAACGAAAAGACTGATGTGATTACTAATAAGGGAATTTTTATGCACAGAATGCGCAGACACTGATGGACCTACAGATAGAGGTCCGCTCACAAAGAGTGCTGGGGTAATGATTGAATGAAGTCAATCGAGATGAACAGCTAATCTGATTGATATGAATAACGACATTTATTTATTTAGTACATGTACCTTGCGTACATGAAAACAAATCAAGAAAACAAAATCAGTCTAAAACAACAATGATGATGTCAGTACCATAACAAACCAGAACACAACTGGTAAAACAATGGAGAAAGTAAAAAAAAAACTGGGATGAAATGAAAGAAACCATAAAACTTCAAAACATAAAGGTCATTATAAGCGAAGAGACGAACTCACGCCACAACTAGCGTCGCCGCTTTTCGGGTTGATTCTTTTTGTATCGGAGGGGATTCATGAGCCCAAGAGCTTCGACTTTTGAGTTACTGGAAAATTCACATTTACGTTACCAGTTGACAGTCGCACGGGAGAGGGTTGTCGCGGCGCACTAACTCATTCCAGCAACAGTGATCGATTTTCCATGAAGGAAATTTTCAAAGTGTGTGAACTATTGCATCTTCTTGTGCAAGAAATGCAACGAGCATACATTAAAATGGAGATATTTCTCGCAGTTTTGAAGCTTTCGAGTGGTTTGCGTCGCGATGCCCACTGCATATCACATAACACCATATTGTTGAGCCTATGTACGTTTTCGCAGCAGTGAACATCATTTGTAGATTTCCAGTAGTAAAGGGATGTTGTCTGGCGCTCTAGCCTTCCTGACCAACGAGCAGAAATTGATTGACTGCCGTAATCAACAAGTGTTAATTTCAGGTAGGATTTGAGCTAGGAGTATGATAAGCTGCAGTATATGCAGTTACTTTCTATTTCAAGGAATGGCTCATTTCAGAATCCTTGACAAGTTTCCGTGTTATCAGTGATATTCAATTCATAATTGTCGTTGAGAAGGATGCCATGTTCAAAAAACTAATCGACGAAGGTTATTTTACAACTTTTCCGAGGAGTCTGCTTGTGACGGTCAGTTCTTTTTATCTTACGACTAGCCTCTACTAACGCTGCTTTCTTCTGTTAAAGGAGCTCCACACGTAGTGCTCTCTTGGAACTAGACCGTAGAAGCACTAGGCTAAAAAGGTTCCTGTGCACTACTTTTGGTGCTCTGCATGCAAACTCTACTAGCAAGAGCTTTTGGAGAGTTACTCAATTTTCGGAATTTGATTGTAGATGTTATACTACTAGATAGGTGGTGAAGTGGTGAAGCATTGTGTTTTAGCGAGCGAGTGGAGAGTTTGAGAGAGCCTCGGACCTCTGAGGTTAATCAGCTGATTCACGAAACCACAGCTAGGGAAGAAATCATGGATGAGTTCCTTGATCCAGCGCAATATGTTGGGTGTGCAAGTCTGCCCCCACCGGGTGTCACGGATAGGGCGAAATGATTGCATTTCCAGGGCTGAGAGCGTGTGAGAGTAGAGTAGAGGCAAATGATCTTTCTACTTGCCATTCATAATATGCTATCGTGGTAAATTGAGAAAGGAGGACGTAAATTTGGTGTAAAAAAATCTTGCCGTTACGGACCCTGAGGTTCAAATATGCATATTTTGACTCAAACAAAAGGTTTTCTTTCGTAGTAAATTTCTGAAGTCTTTTCTCCTTTGCCAACATTAAATGTGTTCAATGAATTCGTTTGCTGAAAGCATTGGAGTTCTAGAGGTTATAAACTGGACAAAGGCTCATTAACTATTATATACCATACTATGGTTTCGTAGCATTTCTCTTTTAGGCGCTATGCAGACGTTTGAAAAACTGGCAGTGAGTAGGTGAGAGGCCTAGTGAGTGAGAGTGTGGAGGAGCGAGCAGTTCAGTAGTTCAGCTAGTTCATTTTTAGCAGGGTCAATTCTGCCGGCGGCGGCCTTTTCCCATGGCTCCGGGGTATTTTGGCATTTTCTAAGGACGCATGCATAGTTGGTCGTCCGATCGCAACGGTCGCACAGCAGTGGATGCGTATCGATCGACAGACTTGCCTGAGTATTCCACGATCGATACGCATGTAACCTGTGCGATCGTTACGATTGGATGACCGACTATGCATGCGCCCTAAGAGTCCCACTATAACAGTAGCCTGTGCTCAGAGAGCTGCGCATGCTGCGTAACAGGGAGATCGGTTTCATCACCATGTACTTGCATGTTTGCGAAGTTTTGTTAAGTATCGTTACCGAAATGCTCAGACAAGGTTCATAGGTTGTTGCGAAGAATCCATTCTACATAGCTTGAGCATTTCAAAAGAGAACAGGTCGTTCTTATCGGATGAAAGAAGGAATCAGCTATGCCTTATTCGGTAGCGGCTTTCTCAACAGCCCCAAGAAAATGTGGTTCTATCAAAACTTTCACTCCGTTTTTACCGTCGTTCGATATCCATGCGTACCCTCACCACCTTCGAGGGTCTCGCCAGGGTTGCAGTGGTAGTTTGGAGAGCTACAAGCTCTCCAAACTACCACTACACAGTACTTTTTTCATAAATACGAGTCCAAACAGGCAGGATTTTTTCCAGGGAAAGGGATATCCTGATATATGCACTCGTAAAGTTCTGCGTTGGTTAGTCGAGAAATTAAATGTTCCAATCTACGGCTTATTTGACAGCGATCCCCATGGTATCGTTATGTACATCTACCTTACATTGTTTTGAAGGGCCATCTCCATATAATCGAATTTAGGTATCGAGATAATGTTGACTTTCAAATACGGCTCTGTATCAGATTCCAGAGAAGGAAGAGGGTGCAATGTAAAAGAAATCCAGTGGCTTGGGTGTGTTTGAGAATCTCGTTTTAAATTAATTGTCCAGTAATATTGACACTTTTTAATGAAAAGCGATCCAGATATACCCTACTTCTATTTTTTTATTAGTGTTCTTTCTATTTTTTTATATTTGTAATGTGAGTGTTTTCTTGCGGCGGGACCTGTGCAAGGACACAGTGCAAAAGTTAACAAAGCAAGTCAAGATCATTTGCTGTTCAAGGAATATTGTTCAAGGAGTTTTGTTTAGATTTAGACCATCAGATATCTCGCAATTGCCCATTGTGCGACATCAATATTTGAAGCTTGGTAATCACGACTTTATGAAAATAACGAAGATTCGGCGAAGAGCTCAAGGATTGGGAGAACGCGATATCGTTACTGAGGTTTTTCATTTTCATCTGTTAAAATGTTGGGATTCGTAGCGTAGTAAATTCTTTCCTTTTTCCTTTTAGTCATAAGTTTTTGTCCAGCACAACATGATTTGTTAAGCGTCAAGTTCTGCTGAGCATTCTGAATGCCATCGGAACTTCAAGACATATTAGTGACGTAGCTTTTAAGGCGCGGAAATACTTTGTCATTATCTCACATTTCGAGTATGGAGTAGATATAGCGAATGCTCCTCGCGTTGGGCGACAACGCTCCTCCCATCGCTCGATAACACTTTTAATCTGCTATCGGCAATGCTGGTCTGCTATGCTCTCTCTTCTCGGATTTCTCTACCGCCGCTCTCCGCGCTCACATTATCTCTCATCTCCCTGCCGGCCTTTTGAACTTTCTCCGCAACGTAGAGCAAAAGGCTCGTATTTCCTGTGTATTTCAGGATTTTCCTTCCTTTTTTCTCCACTGGCGGTCACCTCCCGCCTCCTACATCACATTTCAGTAGGAATGACCTCATCAGTTTAAGCTTGAATCTTGCCTTTAATACGCTCAGTTGGCGCAGTTGATACGAGCAGCGTCGCGCGAATTTCCGTCCTGAGTCGATTTTCCGAAAGGGCTCCAGAACTTTCGCTTATTAGATGGTACTGCCAAGCTGGTACGTGAGGATGAGTTAGATATAAACCTGTACGGTCGAGTTCCCGGCAGGGGGCTAACTGTTATATAGGGCGCGGGTTGCGCTCTTCACCTTTAGTTGTGATGTCGATTCCACAAGTGCACTTCGAGCGATCATTTTCAATGAATGGCGTTGCCGCACAGGAGCAGTGGAAACCGTCAACATCATCATCAGCGCCCAGGGAAGAGCCACCACTCCCATCATCAGTGCCAAAGGCTCTAGCCTAATGCTACAAGGAGGCCATAGCTTCGCGAAGGATCAAGGTTGGGAGGCCCACACCATACCGTGGAAGACTCCGAGTTCTCGCAGCTGTCGACGAGAGGATCCGAGTTAGCACCCACAGTCATTGTGTATAAAAGCTCGGGTGCAACGTCATACATACAATCCTAGTCCCCTACAACGTCTCTCGCCGGCAGAACAAATGCCGATGCGATGGAACCCTCATGTCTTGGCAGATAGCACGTGTTCGGCGGTACCCCCCTTTAGTCAGTCTCATCTTCTTCTGTCCGGCACATGGACACGGAGTTTCTGAACACTCGATTACGGAATAAGAGTTGCGACGCTCGTACGTTTACGAGCGAAATCCGACCTTCTCAAGATCCGTCTCTTTGCTGCTTTTGGGGTTCGCGAGGCAATGCTGTATTATGAACTGCTCCCGTAAGGGCACACCTTCATCGGCAACATTTACGTCAGTCGCTTTAAAAAGTGTCTTACGCTTTTCGAGAAAAACGAACTAGACGAGCTTCTGTCCACCGCTACTCGTCATATACACTGCGTTTCATAAATATAGGTCCACCCTAAATTTTTGCTATTCCAAAGTTGCTGCGCATTTTTGGGAAATGCCGCTATTACCAATAGTTTCCCCATAAGGAAAAACCTTGATACTCGATTTTTGGAGAAATCTTGATTAAGAATAATTAAAATATCTTTTTTAGAGCGTATTTTCACCGTTTCGCGAATATGACTACAGATCACTTTTCGAGAGATTTTATTATAGCAAAAAAACGTCACAAATTTTCAACAATGGGATGGTCCTCCCATAGTCATAAGGAACACAATAATACGTTTTGGAATGCTGGTAATCAAATTAGCTATTACAGTAGGATCGAAATTTGTCTGTGCGCCGATGATCGACCTTTTCAGCTCTTTCGGCTGTTCCATTTTGCTTTACTTTGCTGTGGAACTTTATAACAATTAAGGCCCAATGATTCTCTATTGGAATCTGATTCAGATAACATGTTGGCCACCAGGTAACTGCCATATTTTTTCCCACAATTCCATCTGGCGTGGAAGGACCGGCATGGACAGCCGCGTTATCGTGCGTAAAAATCAAGGTTCGAGGGAGCTGTTGTCGGAAAGATGGTAACAGTCGCTTCAGAAGAACTTCACGATACCCTATGGAATCCTCTTGAAAGGAAACAAACACGAGCTCTAGCCGCTCAGTCGTTCAAAAGAGCCTCAATCCATAAGGGATTCTTCGCCAAAATTACCTTACATCAAAACCATCTACGATTTCCACGGAACCCTCCCGTACGCTTTTTTTTCTATCAGATCCACCTAGAATAAAACTTTTTCACGTCGATCTCAGATCACCTGTAGCACGAAACAAGGAGCTAGAGTCCAAGATCGCGAAGGGTCTGAACAGCCAAACCTTCGTTCATAAAGTTGCGCCCTTTTCCACGCTGAAATGGAGACGTGCGATCTTGAAGCGCTCAAATAATCTTGGAACGCTCTTCATCAATCCGCTGAAGATGTATTGCTTCGCTGACGTACACACCACACGGTGGTTTTGCTCACGGAAGGCCGTATTTCAGCACGAACTTTGTTCGGACCCCTTACACAATTCGAGAGAAAACGCCCAGTTCCTCCTAAATCTTGAAGGAAACGCGGTCTTCATTTACCTAAGCTACTCTTCTCCCCGCACTGACCAGGATTTCGCACTTAGTTGCTTAGGTCGTAGGAGCCGGCCGGCTTGGGAGGAAATTTTGCTCCTTTGCCATCCCACTTCAGTAAGTGCTCTGGCTTGAGCTTGTTACTGGGAAGAGAGGCGAGTAACACGAGGTACGGTAAACTCGATGTCGACTGAGCTCAGATATATCCCCGCTTCCCTTATTTCCTTCACTGATCACGAGAAATGGGAACTTTTTATGAGTAGCCCGATATTCACGAAACGGTGAAAATTCGTTCAGAAAAAGTTAATTGGGTTACTTGTGGGAGGAACTTGCAGAAAAATCACTGTGAGACAAGTTTTTCTCATGAGCGAGGAATCTATGGTGACAGAGCATTTCGCACCAAAAAATCGGCACACAGCAACTTGGAAGTAAGGACCAAAAATTCTACGGGTGAGACTAATAATCTTATGAAAGCGGCAGTGATAACGTCAGACCCCACATAGCTTGAAAAGGCCCATGCAAAATTGAAAGAGTTGTGCTAAAACTCGGTCCCCTGCCCACCCTATTCCTCGATATTGCCCCCTCTGATTGACACTTGCTTTGTTCCTTTAAGGCATTCCTAGCAAAGAGAAAACCCGCCAAGTGAAGAGTGTTAAAAGGATGATCGGTGGATTTTTTGACACTTTCCAGAATCCCTCCAGGCTTCTTGGAGTATAGGATCGGGCTGTCCGCACGTAAAGGTGGGACACATGTAGAGGGCGAGTACCGAATGTGAATGTGGGCATGTTGAGATAATACGTCTAGAGTAACAGTTAAAGTAAGAGTTCCATTGTACGCGGAATAAAAAAGTACCGCAGAAAAAAGTGTTAAACTGCTCAGGACTTTCTCACCATCCTAATACAACGAATAGCAAATTACGCCGGTTTCGAGTGATTTTTGAAGGACTGTCAGCTGAGTTTAGCATTGACCAGCAAAACACCGCTCTTGAGCGGGTGTTCCTCGAAAAACGTTGTCTGCGTTTTCCAGGACTCACCTGACCGGTTGTGAGTCCCTAGAGCAGGCGATCTGCTAACCTTATAATGGCTTTAGCCGATTCACCAGAAAATGTGGTGTCCTAGACCGTATGATGGCTCTTTCGAATTAAGAGAGGTGGGCCTAACCTCATTGACAACAATTAGAGAACTGTTTCGAATGTTTGGAGGAAGTGTTTCACCTGCTGCGCAAAAAAACACTGCGTACCGTGATAGCGAGAGAGCATCTCCGCGAAGCGATCCCTAACGCCGAACGCTGCCGGTATTGGAGGATCATCCCTCAGGCTTACTGCGAAACAAGGCTCATTCATCTTATGATGCTATAACGGCATCGACCGACAATAGTACTTGCGCAGGCTACTATCGTTGGGCTGCGCTGATAGACAAGCAAGGTTTTACATGAGAACGACTTGGTTCATGATGCCGCATGCAAACATCCACCCGGACCGTCATTATTTGATTTTTTCCGATTACTAGGTATTAGCGTAGGCTGGAACATCACCGAATGCTCCAGCTACGTGTACCTAGGTCGGGGAAATCAATATGATGAACGATCTAGCTCCAGAGCTGAGCAGGAGGAAACGAGCGGCTTGGGGAGCGTATAAGAACATCGAGGGAGTAGTGAAGAAGACGAAGAACATCCGGCTCCGTGCCCACCTCTTCGATTCCGCTGTCCTTCCTGCCCTAACCTACGCCTCAGAGACTTGGACTCTGCGCAGGCAGGACGAGCATGCGGTCAGCGTTATCCAACGCGCTGTCGAGAGGACGATGCTAGGAGTAACCCTATACACGCAAGTGCAGAGGGGAATCCGGAGTGCCGAACTACGCCAACGATCGAAGATCAGGGACGCTGCCGTTTTCGCCAAGGAATCGAAAACGGTAGGGCCGGACATGTGATGCGATTTTGTGATGACCCTTGTCGTTACGAATGATTCCTTAGAATGTCAAGCGAAGACCTTGGACGACCGCCGGCCCGATGGTCAGACTTCTTCACGAAAGCTCTGAACGAAAGGAATGATGGACTTCGTGTCCCTCGAGCGAGGAGGATCCACTGGACCACTCTTGCACGCGACAGGGACGAATGGAGACGTTGCTGGCGCCCGCTCGAGCAATTCGATGATCGATGTACGACAGGTTTTACCCTAATGCATGCAGAACACACGAGAGAATGCTTCCTGAGCTCCGTCCTTAAGGAGTGGCCATGACCGCGAGTTTTGGCCTAAGCCAGAACAAAGGTATGACCTCTAGATTAGGTTCAAAAACCCAGGAGTCAGCCTCGCACGCGTGAAAAATAGATAACATGGTTGGGACGCGCTTACGCGTCACACCTGCCTAGAGTTAGAATCATACCATATGGCATTAAATATCAGCGGCACCCAAAATCACACCTAATATTGATTTTTCCGAGG